CCCAGGGCAGGTGTCCAGACAACCTCCCTAGAAGGCCCTGTTCTGACCCTAAACATGGTGTACACAGTACAGAGCAGACAGAGCAACACTAACAATAACATTATACTGTCCTTAACATCAAAAGGGAACTCAATATTTTCAAAAACTGTTGTAGCAGGTCTGAAGGGGAAGAAGGAGGTGAGAGGCTGGAAACAACCATCCCCCCCCTGTTCCCCCAAAGGGCTGAGTACGATTTTTAATGAGGCCCCAGAGGTAGCAACCCAAACCAGGACAGGCAAACAGGACTGAATACACATTTACAATGAAACTCATTGCTTCTGATGTTAGAATGACATAAACATAATATACTAATAAAGCAATTTGGATCCCTCTCCCTGGTCTTAAAGAGAGCATCAAAACAGACAAATAATGCCCCATCTGTGGAAATATGAACAGGCTCAAATACAACATCCATGTGACTGCATCAAACAACATGGTGATCAGGGAGTTTCTATATCCAAATAGACAAATGCTTAAAGTGAAATTGTGATTCTGACTTCTCTCTCTCTGCCCCACGTTGGGTGCCAAAAATGCGCCGTTTTAAGAGTTAACCAGCAGGGGAAATGAACTCAACTCAAAGGAGAGATTATAAGTCAGAATAACAATTTACTAAAATAATACAGTAAGTACAATCATACAAACAAACAATTGGTCTTAACCCACAAAACCCAAATGTATAACCCGGTACCCTGGGGCATGAACAACGTGGTGTTCCTTGGGCCCCGCTTGAGTCCAAAGTAAAGGGAGAGGGGAAGAACCTGCTGGTGGGAGAGCTGTTGCAGTCTGGTCAAAAGTGGTGATTGCAGTGAGATGCTGGGGGGAGAGCTGTTGCCGTCTGGTCAAAGTGGTGATTGGAGTCCAGTATAGGGTGATCCAAGTCTGTTTGAGAGCGATGAGCCGCAGTCCTTCTCTGGATCCCACAGAGTGGTTAAAAATGTTCCAAGACTCCAAGATTATATATCCTGCAGTTCAGGCAGGAATGCTCAGCACTTCCCTCAGGGCGGGGAGTTCCACAAAGGGTGTGAGGACAGGAGCATCCTCCTATCTCACAGGCCTCTTAACACCTAGTTTATCGCCTGAGGAGTCAGGCTCTATGGGCAGATGGTGTAAATGGTTCATTGATAACAGTTTCTGGGAAATGGCATGGAAGGCTATAGAATACACAGTTTTGGGTTACACCCATACCCTGATGAACTGGTCTCAGTTGTCCTAACTAGGACAATCTAAGAAGGGAAATAAGTTAATGACCAACTGATCCCTGCCTGGGCAGCTTAATGACACAAATAATTAATTACTCTGTTAAGTGCTGATTTTTTTTGCAACTGCTTGGCACCTAAGGAAACAAACAGTGACAGGACAGCGCTGCAAATCCAGAACACCAGACTCAGAGGAAAAAAATAAATCCCACCATCAGCAGGTTAACACCAAGGGGGAGGGGAGGGGAGAGGAGAGGAGAGGAGAGGTTCGGAGAGGAGAGGTTCGGAGAGGAGAGGAGAGGAGAGGTTCGGAGAGGAGAGGTTCGGAGAGGTTCGGAGAGGTTCGGAGAGGAGAGGCGAGGTTCGGAGCGGTCGGCGGAGGTTCGGAGAGAGGGAGAGGCGAGGAGAGGAGAGGAGAGGAGAGGAGCGGAGAGGAGAGGAGAGGAGAGGAGAGGCGAGGAGAGGAGAGGCGAGGAGAGGAGAGGAGCGTTCGGAGAGGAGAGAGGAGATGAGAGGTTCGGGAGAGGAGAGGAGAGGAGAGGTTCGGAGAGGTTCGGATTTACGGGCGCGGTTCGGAGAGGGAGGGAGAGGAGAGGAGAGGAGAGTAAGGAGGAGTTTCGGCGAGGAGAGGAGGAGGAGAGGTCGGAGAGGAGAGGTTCGGAGAGGTTCGGGCCGAGGTTCGGCGCGTTCGGAGAGGTTCGGATAGGTCGGAGAGGAGAGGTTTCGGAGAGGAGAGTCTGAGAGGAGAGGTTCGGAGAGGTTCGGAGAGGTTCGGAGAGGTTCGGAGAGGTTCGGAGAGGTTCGGAGAGGTTCGGAGAGGAGAGGTTCGGAGAGGAGAGGAGAGGAGAGGAGAGGAGAGGAGAGGAGAGGAGAGGAGAGGAGAGGAGAGGAGAGGAGAGGAGAGGAGAGGCGAGGAGAGGAGAGGAGAGGAGAGGAGAGGAGAGGAGAGGAGAGGAGAGGAGAGGAGAGGAGAGGAGAGGAGAGGAGAGGAGAGGAGAGGAGAGGAGAGGAGAGGAGAGGAGAGGAGAGGAGAGGAGAGGAGAGGAGAGGAGAGGAGAGGAGAGGAGAGGGGAGGAGAGGGGAGGAGAGGAGAGGAGAGGAGAGGAGAGGAGAGGAGAGGAGAGGAGAGGAGAGGAGAGGAGAGGAGAGGAGAGGAGAGAGTGGGTGGCCAGGAGACCTGTCAGGAGCTGGAGAAAAGCACTTAAGCTGGAGGCACCAGAAGGAACAACATCGATTTTGTAACCAGCAAAGGAAAAAAAAAAAAAACAAAAAGCTCACAAAAGCAAAATCTGTCATAAAGCAGAGGCCTGGAAATTAAAAAAGAGAGGAAAAAAATAGAACAAGAAAAAGTACTTCTCAAGTAAAAGGAAAGATTAAAAAATAAAAAAAAATCACTAAATATATAGATATATATTTGTAGTGCAAGTCAGAGTCAAGCAGGCATGCGAGAGGTTAGTTCTACTCACTGTCGGCAGGTTTGCTATCACTTAGGAAAGGCTCCATGATGTCCATTGGTATTTTAATCCTTGGGACTTTTTCTGAGTAGGGGCAGTCAGACTGTGAAAGAAACGTGTAAAAGCTCTTAGAACGTTCCCACTGCTCTCTCTCTTATCGTCTCCCACACATTAAAATTATCCTTCACATAGTTTCTGTAGGAACGGGGAAAAAAAAAGAAGGAAAAAGAGAAAAGCATTGTCCAGCTTAGTTTTAGTTGCCTGGTGGATTCCACTGGTTCCCCACTGCACCCCACTTCCCCTTGTTCTTCACACTCCAAAAGTAAAACAGACTGAAAGGATAATCTTGTGGAATTGTAAATTAACACAGATCTTCCCCTTTCCCACCCCACCAGCTTTTAAGACACCATCCCATTCTGCTTGGAGTCGGCTGCAGGAAATACAGACAGAAAACGGATCTGTAGGCAGACATAGCAGGGCACTGGCTGCTGGGAAAGCTCATCCAAACCCTTTATCCTGCCGGCATTTCTGTAAAAGCCCTTAGTTGTTCCCAGTTGCTCTATGAGGGCAGAGGTTCCGTATGCTGGGCTGGTTCAGCAACTCCTCTTTAATTGGGGTAAAACCCAGCCTCGTTACACCTCTAGTTCATCAATTCCAGGACCCTTGGAGGGATTCAGGATCCCTGGCCTGGCAGGACAAACAGCAACCAGGTCAGGAAGAGGCAAAGGGAAAAGCTGGGGTACCAGCAGGGCTTACACCCCACTGCCTTCTGTCACCCACCTGCTTATGCTTAGCAGACGGGACTTGGAATTATTCTGCTTTGTTAAAAATAAAGGAAACTTCTCATAGCCAAGGAAAGGCTGATATTGCCTAACTTGGCAAAGGCAGGAAGGTGGGATTTGCAAGAAACATTGGGACAGCAGACCTGTGCCCCAGGACAGAAAGCCTGTGAGCTTTGGCTTTCAGGTGCAGTGTGTGGCACAGCCTGGGCACTCCGTGGGCAACCAGGGCTTCCTGTGCTTGCACCTTTTCCCTGGGAGGAATCTTTGTCCATATGGAATTTTTATAGTCGGACTGGATATTACAGTGCAGGGCTTTAAGACAGAGCAGTCCTTTTCCTTCAGGTTCTTCTGTAGCCCCGCGAACCGTCTTGGTAGTGGCGAAGCCTTGACGGAGCTCTACAGGACCCAGCTCCCGAGGCATCTCCCTCAGGAATCCTGACAGCAACACACAGGCAGGCCACAGATGTTGCTTCCTGGCTGGCACAGGGCTTGTGGCCACCTCTTAGGGCCAGGTTAGTTTTTTTGTGTGGGTCAATCACCCAAGGCAAAAATACCCTCTCCCATTAAACATCCCTCCCCTTACAGCGATGCAGGGGAAAGAAAAATTCCGTGCCTGGTTTTTTAGAACAAGTAAACCTATGAGAGTAGGCAAGGGAAGGGACTTGTATGCAAGGCAAAGCAAGGCAGCAGCAGGTAAAGCACAGCACAGTAAGGGAGGGACAGTTAAGGCAAGGGCAAGCAAGGGCAAGGCAAGAGGAGGGAGGGGGGCAAGGGAAGGCAAGAAAAGGGAGGGGCGAGGCAAGAGAGGGCCAAGGCAAGGCAAGGCAAGGGAGGGGCAATACAAGAATGGAGAGGGGCAAGGTGAGCTAGGGAGGGGCAGGCAAGGCATGGCAATGAAAGGAAGGGGCAGGTAACAGTAGACAACACAAAGGAGAAGTAGGAGAGGCAAGGAAAGGCATAAGAGGGGTAGGCAAGGCAAGGCAAAGGTAGGCAAAGCAAGACAAGGCAAGGGAGGCATAGCAAAGCAAGGCAAAGAGAGGGGCAAAGGAAGGGCAAAGAAGGCAATGCAAGGAAAGGAAGGGCAAGGGAGAGGCAAGGTAGGGGCAAAGCAAGGTAAGGCAGGGGCAGGCAAGGTATGGCAATGAAAGAAGGGGAAGGCAAGGGTCAGCAACACATGGGAGAAGCAGAAGAGGCAAGGAAAGCCATGGGAGGGGCAGGCATGGCAAGGCAAGGCTTGTTGAACCAAGACAGCATAAGATGTATCTCTTTTTCAGGCTGGCCGTCTCCAGTCAGAGATCTCCATGCAGAGCTGCTCGGACACAGAGGCCTTGATACAAGGGTGCATAGTTAGGGATAGTTTTCCTCCATGCCTTGGAGAGTTTTCAGACCAAACCAGCTGAAGGCAGCAAAGTTGCAACAAAACAAACTCAGCTAATAAATATGCATTAAGAGCCCTTGCACAAAGGGTTTGTGTGCACAAATACTCATAAGTGAATAGTAACAGATGATACTGTAGCCAAATCAAGAGATTATGTAAATTGTAAAGATGAGTTTATGAATTGTCTTAAAAATACATATGAGGAAACAAGAGTGGTAACACAATGCAAAAAGGCAAAAATTAGCTTCTTTCAATGCAGCAGATTAGTGAGATAAAAGAAAAAAAACTCTATTGGACTAACTCTGTAACATTGCTGACATTAGCACAAACTTGTCAATTTACACCAACAAAGACTCAGCAAGAATTGACTGATCTCAGAGGTAGAGTTGCTTTATCTTTTGGATGGATTGTTCCCACCAATCTTGCCAACGCTGAATTGCCAGCAGCCGAGCTGCGCTTTCTTCCTTGATCTGGGCGAACAGCTGCTCAAGCTTACATTTGTATTTCTGTATAAAAAACAATTAAGGACACAATTGGTGGTGATGAAATATAATTTTACTTTGCCTAAATCCAGGTCCTGATCCATTGTGCCAGAGGACTGCATAGAGGCCACTTATTTTCTACCTTTGACAACAGAACTATGTGAATAATTAATTGTTCACCATGTCCCTTCTGTGTTCCTTTTAAAGACATCTGGAACTAAGTTATCAGCAATATTTAACTTTTGCTAAAATGCAAGATCTTCATCTCACTTCCATTATCTCCTAAGATTAGAGAGTTGCCTACCCTCGAGACCCAAGCATGCATCTGCAACATGGGATGCACTCAGGCTCTGGCCAAAACTTCTTAACTCACAAGTATTACCTGAACTACTATCAAGCTGCTAAAAAGGTATTTCATCTAAACAGAAACTTGTAGTCTACTATGAAAACCTCAAAGGCCCTGTGTTAAGGAGTCCATGCTTCAAAACATAAAATACTGTGTTTTTAATGCAACACACATGCAGGAAAATATTTTTGTGGCATGTATCCAACTGTTTGTATCCGACCAAAAAGGTTCCCTTCAAAGCTGTGCTGTAACCAGCTGCTTGGGCACCAGGACCAGATACATAAAACACTCATGCAAATTGATATTTTTGATGACATCTGCCATTGTTGACAGTGTATTTTACATTCCCCTATTAAATACCTATATTTTTTAAAAGTTAATTCAGTTCACCAGTCCACATCAGACGCATAAATACTGATCATTTCTTTCCAATTGATTTAACATAAGAATATTCTTCCAGCTGCCGAGCACTGCTGTTCTGCAAGTGATTGTCAGTGCCAGTCAGAGGGTCAGAGCTGTCTGCAGCATGTTCATTCTTCTAGCAGCCTCAGTGAAGAAAGAGTGATCATTTTTACGGTGAAAACAGTGATCTGTGATATTTCTGGATATAAGATAGGTATGTGGTATTTTATAGCCCTTTACCTGTTATTGAAAAATCAGCCTTTGTGATCTAACTCTAAACTGTAGGCTTTAGAAAGAAGGGTGAGTGAAAGCAGCACTGGAGCAGCGTTGGGGCAGAAGCTGCTTTTGGAACTGTGGTGCTGCTGAATGCAGTGCCCTGTTTTTGACACCATCCGTGCTTCTCTGCTGAAACAATTCCCCTTTGTCATGCCTCCGAATGAGAGGGTTCCCTGAGAAACCAACCCTGTCTGCTTCTGACAATATCACGAAGAAACGGACACAAGAGAGGACTTCTACACATGGATAATAGGGCTTTAAAATCTGAAAACACTGTGTATGTTAAAATTTACACATAGATACGATTCTGTGGTTTTCTTCTTAAAAAAACCTAACCCCCAACAGCAGCAGCCCCACTCACAGACCCACCTGGTATGCAGCTTGTCTCGCATCCATCACTGCTAGATGGCCCAGGGTAGTCTGAGCTGTTGAAACCGCTGCAGTTCCTCTGCAAAGAACATAGGCTGGAGCTTCAGGAAGAGTAGTCTCAGGTATTCCTGGCCAAGTCCTTTAAAAAACCAAACCAACCAACCAAAAAACACACGAGAGAGAAACTTAGAAAAGAGAGTGTATCATACTAATTAACATTACTTGTACGAAAGTGCAAAAGATCAATTTTATTTTTTTTTTAATCTCCACAAAAGGCTTACCCTAAAACTTCTTTGTTTAGTACAACCACCTTTTCTTTTAAGACTTCAGGATCTCTGCACAGTATTGAATTCTTATCTTCTGAATGACAATACACAGTATATTCATAGATCTGAAAGTGCTGAATTGATAACTAGTGGCTAGCAAATGGCATAGTAATAGCCATGACATTCTATTGTTTTACACTACAATATGTAATTCACTTTTATTTGGATCCATTGTAATTCTTTCTTTAAAATCACCACCCACCCAAACTGCCCCATAACTAGTTCAATGACATCACTAAGAATGAGCATAGTGCAAGTGTAGAAAACCCTTCCAGAAGATTTTACTAGGAGGAGATTAGGGTTTTTCGCTTAAGAAAGCTTTCCTGCCTGGAAAGAGGCATCTGTCCCAGAGACAGTTTTGGAATGTTTCTCTTCCTGCATTCCGGAGAAGCTCTCCCTGGTATGAGAAAAGATAAGTTGTCACAGACACGTTTGAGGGACAATAAAAGCCCTGAGAAGAACAGGAGGCATGTCTTTTCCCAGGCCTGGTGCAGTTTTGTGCTGATATGTTGTGTTCTCAACTTTTGAAAATAAAGTCTCCTAAATCCTTCCACTGCCTGATATCTTTGGAGTACCTGCATGTATTTGACCCTTACAATGAGTATTCAGCAGCTTCATCAAGTGCAGCAAAAAAACTATGAGGACAGTGCCTGGTACCAATTTAGAGAAGAGAAATTAGACAGAACAGTGTTCAGTATCTTCAAACATTACCCCCTCCCTCGTTTGATTAACTGTTGAACTTTAGAGGTTTCTAGAGGAAGTCCAGCTTGTTTCTGATGGATTAAAGTCGACATCTTCTCTCTAGGTCTTTCAGTGTCTGGAAGATAATAGAAGATCTACTCAGCAAAAGTAAAACAATGGCAGAAACATGATTGTTTTGGAGGAACTACATGCAGCTTGATGCTCTACACTTTCAAGAAATAGCTTTGTGGGCTTCATTACACAAATCTTTGCATTTAAAATATTACAGCATATAAAAGCCTCTGCTTCCTAGGGGTAGTCTGCTGCAGTCTTTGAAAAGGGAGAGAAGGCCTGAACAAGCAATTTCTTCTTTACTTACCTGCTACTTGTATGTCATCAACGGTGATGGTTTCATCCAATTCCAAGAGCAGCTTTTCAGTGAGGGCAGCCAGTGCAGAAAAAAAGCTCTGAGCACACTCAGCAGCACAGTCCTGTTGGGATATTGGAGACAAGTGAGAGAAATTATTTTGATAATTTGATCTTTTAATTTGGCTCCAAAAGAACTACACAAGTATCCAACCTTGACTTTCTGCAGCAGGTGCAGATAACAGACATAAAGCTTGAAGTCGCACATAAAAGGGTCTCAAAGCATCTCTATGCAGTATTCTTAACACTGCCTGATCATTTAAAGTTCACAAAACTGTAGAGTTCTGTGTATAGGTACCCATCATATATATATTTGTGTTAAACCTGAGAAAAACAGCTGTCTGTAAATGCATCCTTCTTCCCAAAGCAAAGACCATTTTGGAACTCGGGTACTTTGGGTGGAAGTGCTTTGGCCAGGTGTTATTCTAAAAGAGGGTATTTGTGTTTCTGTGTCTGTAGGCAGAGTTAAAAGTAGAAGGAGCTGTTACTTTGGAATTAAAAATATATATACTCTGCAGACAGTATAGAATTTGGAGTAAGTGGCCTGAGAGAAGAAAATAAAGAGCTTTAGTGCTGGGCAAACAACCTTCAATAAACCCCTGGGGTGGAGGGGGAAAAGTGTTTTGATTCCTGAATCTCTCCTGTAAATTCTGCTTATTCCAGTACTTAATCTTGTGCGGAAAAGTGTCAATTATTTGCACTAATGAAATGCACAGAGAAGAAAGAAACCCTTTCAGGCATCTGTTGTCTGCAAAGAAGAGAACTAACCAGAGGATGTCACCCCTGCAGCCAACACTCCTATCTACCATTAAGCTCACAGCCAGCATGCTCTATGAATGATACACAAGATCAGTTAGTTCCACAATAAATCTATACATGTCTATGTGTGCATGTGTATTTATGTCAATATTGAGCTAATGTTGATAATACATAACTTAAAAGTTGAACGATATGTGACCAGGATTGCCTAGAACTGAAAACATTTTCAAGTTTCCTTTAGACGGGGAGGAAAAATGTACCCAAAATGCACTCTCCTTTCCAAATGCAACATTTAAATTCACAGTAAGCAAGGGTTTTACAATTACCTGCAGCATCTTTGTGTTGAGGTGAACACCCTCAGTTTGATCTTTTTGCCTTTTTATTTCCTCTTGGCACAAAGCCTCCAGCTGAAGGGAGTTGTTTGGGTGTCCCAGGGAGTAATGTAATTTTCTCCGGTGCACAGTCTTTAAGGAAATACACGAGAAAGAAATGCCTTCAGTAAATAATGTACTTTTAGTCATAATAAGGAAGAAGTAAAACCAAAACATTTTATATAAAAGTATTCAGAAAGACAAAGAAAACAGAGCTACTCCGTGGCTGTCTGGAGATAAACCTTGCAGTGCAGTATGCACTAAATTGCCTCTCTGCTGGAGGACAGGGCCTGTGGTCTCACTTCAGGGTTTGTTTTCAGTAAACAATCATCTCTCCTACCAAGTGGTAAAGAAGATACTTTTTTATAACTCTATATTTGTAATTTTTTCCTGAATTTAGCTTAATACTCAGAGCAACAAAACCTGAAGTTACTGTAGCCTTTTCTGCATGATCTCCATTATGATTCTGTTCTGAGTTCTGACATTACTGGAAAAAAAATATGCCTCTTTTATGAATAATAGTAAATAATAGTATTTCATTACCCATATATCATAGTCCCTATAAAGGAGTGCAGCCATGCAGTAGGAGCTGTATGGCCCTACCACAAGGTCACAGCCCTTGCAGAGTTGACAGTCCAAGTGTAAGGTTACAGGCAGAGTTGACAAGGTAAGAAAAGGGCAGACCAGTGCTGGAAGAAGGGAGAAAAAGGACTGAGTTCCAGGAAATACAAAGCTTCCAGGAAAACTACCCAGACTAACTGCAAACACAGAAACTACACCTCAGCTCAGCAGGGACTGATGAAGCAAAGAGCGAAAATGAAAAAAAGAAAATTTTATCAGATGCATTTAGCATTGCTTACACTGGAAGCATTCCAATATATCCATGATAGATACCTTCATATCCTCCCACTCTCCCAGCTGTCTGTTGAAGAGGTGCTGAATCTGAGCAGTGGAAGAGCTGAGTTTCTGCTCATGTTCTCTTAAAAGACTATCCACTGCCAACTGGGAGACAGAAGAGAGCTCCTCCTCAAACCACTTCAGCTGATCCCGAAATTCTTTTGGGAAAAAACAGGGCGTGTACGTGACACAGAAGTATTAATTGCAAGGAAAAAAACCCCACTCAGTCCAGATGAACACACACTGCAAGGGTCAAACAGCCTGGAATTTTCTCTCTCAGAGATTCTGTCTCTGCCATTTCTTTTCCTAGGTCCAGTGCTTTGAGAAACGTACACTTGCCTAAAGATGTGACCTGTACAGGTCTTTCAACTTAGTCAAGTGCCCTTCTGCTATGATTTTTGTAGCTGAGAATACTCAGAAAAGTATATTGGCTCAAGTCCCAGTAAAATCAACTGGAGTTTTCCCACTGAGTCTGATGGATTAAGACAACGACATTAATTCTTGGTCACTGCAATTTTCAGCTTACATATTGAAAAATTGCACACACAAGAAATTAAAATCTTAAAGGAGTGAATTTACCTCCAAGACAGAAATTGTAGTAATCATCTGCCTGTCTTTTGTATGACAGTAGTTTCTGTCTGAGCTTTTCTGCCCAACGTTCAAAAGTCTCTGGCAGATATTTAGGTATTCCCATCTGAGGTGTCTTTTCTCCATAAAAATCCTACAGAAGGGAACAAAAAACAGATAAATTGTTGATAACACATTCAAATGTGTCACATCTAGGTATATAACAGCAGGAGAAGGAAGGAAAATTATTGGATGGTCTGACAAATACTGAAAAGAACCAAATTATTTCTCTGACACAGGAGTGGACCTATGAAAGCAAAAGTGACTGAAGAACACAAGGTTTTCTTACCTCACCAAGGTCAAGCAAGGTGTTGCTACCCGTCCAGAGAATATTCATAATGATCCCCTTAAAAGTACTGAAAACCAACAAAATTAAAAAAAAAAAATTAAATACTATCACACGGTAAAATTATCACATTGGCAATATTCACTGCTCTTCAAATATTCTGTTCAGGTTAATTTTAATACATTTTTCAGAGCATACCCAAACAAATATTCAGAATGCCTAAGATCCTTCCCCTGCATTAGCTTTGGTTCTTTTCAGAAGCAGCCAGGACTTGCACCTATTGTAAATGATCACTTGAGAGCACTGCCACATCAAAAGGAATCCTAGCCAACTTCCTGTGCCTAAAACTTACCTTAAGAACTGACCATGCACTCTGGATAAACCAGAAATATTTGAAGGTGGGTCTAGTGTTGTAGTGGTTTGAACCTTGTTTTCCCCAGAGACTAAGAGAAGTGGTAGACCCCAAGGGGTGGAAACCCCTGGAAGTTTTGAAGTTCTGCCCAATGGGCGCTCCTGCAGAAATGTAAACATACCACAACCAGACCGGAAAAGAAGAGTTGTAGTTTGGTTGTTGTAGGAGAGGTGGCCATGTTGTAGAGCCACGAGGTAGGGGCTCTGAGCCCCTTGGGGCCTCTGGCCCCCTCCCAGCCCCTGGCTGGGGGCTGCAGGGACCTGGAACAGCATAAAGCTGGGCTAGGTGCCTGTAGTTATGCCGGGAGATGTTTTCTCCATGGGCACAGAGCAGCAGCCGACACTGACCAGAGAAACGGTGGCAGAGAGCCAGAGATAAGAACCTGAACTGAAGGAGCAGCAGAAGCAACATGCAGCACTGCAGAGGAGACTCCTGGAAGGAGAGTCGAGGAAAGGAGAGCCAGCAGCTGAGAGCTACAGAGTTCTTGGGGGTAAGACTGATACCAGATCCCCAAAACTCCTTTGAGACCTCCTGGAAGGAGGAAGATGATGGACTCTTACTTGAAAGAGCCTTGAAGTGCGACATGCACTGTAGAAAGGAGCTCGAGAGCTCCGAGAGGAATGCAGGGGGAGTTGACCTTGGCTCTCCCCCCCCTCGCACTGCTGCCACGGTGGCAGCCTGAGAGACAGGGCACAGAGGCCCTGCAAGAGATACCAGACCGTCACGAAGAACCCCCTGTGTCTTCGTGATATGACGTGGTGATACGACCTTGTCTGGGGTTACGAAGACCACGGAAGACCCCTCGGTTGTGAGGCGATGGGGCCGGGGGAGCTTGAATACCTCCCTCGTGGATGCTGGCAGAAATCCAGCTATCAGCTGCTGCATGAGATGAGAAGAAACCTGCTGCCTTAGAAGATGCTGCTGTTCAGAGACTGGAAGGGATCTGTCCTTCTTTCCCTCCTGGACTTTTATTTGGAGGAGAGAAGAGATCTGATCCATTGTAAATACATATGTCATGGTAGAGATAGTTGTGATCATGTGTATATGTGATATGGTATTTATTTGTACAGTCATTGTAATATATTCCCTTTCCCCCCACTTTGGAGTCTGGTGTGTTTTGTCTGGAAAAACCTCTCTCACATTAGGTTGAGATGTGGGAGGGGGGATGGAGCTAGGGAATTGGATTTTGGGACTATCTCAAACCATGACAAGCTTTTTACTGGAATTATTTTGAAACACAATGGGAAATAAAATTCCCAAGTGCTTAAACATCTTAGGCATTAATTTGAATAGTTTTGCATGGCACATACGAAATATCTCAGTTCTGTAGAGTACAGCTGCACAGATAGGATAATTTTCTTAGAGAAGGGGAATGGGACCTGTTTGCTCCATGTTTATTCCTATCAATGGAATATTGAGCACAAGAACGTAGTGTATAAAATGTATTGGTCTTCTCAGATGTGAAAATCATGGAAAGACAGGCTATTTTATATTCCCCACCCTCTTCTTGTAAATGTGCAAAATGGGCTCCAATGAGACCTCCCATTTCAGACATTAAACAGAATAAAACAGATGATCTTTTATTTTCATTGTCAGTATGTTACAAAAAGGAACTGTTCTGTAAGCACTTTGACCAATAAATATCAAGGTTAAATACCTCAAAATTCAATAGTGAACTCTATAGGTCACAATGATAGATAGATACATAGATTCGATAGATAGAGGGTTTTTTCAGATTAACAACTTCTTCTGCAAATACACATGACTTACTCAGACTTTGGAGGCTTCTTTTCAAATATCTGGTATGTCCTGTCCTTGGGAACAGATTTGGTGCTTTTCTTTTCGCTAGGAAAGAAAAACATTCATTTGATGCTATCCACAACTGTTTTCCTTCTCTGGCTGATGATGGGAGTATATGATGGACTGAAGAAAAAAAAATCAGAAAAATGTAACTCTAAAACTAGTATTATGTGTGTCCTGGACAGGGTTAATTTTTGGCCAGGACCTGGAGGTTATTCTGTACCACCTCCTGTGATTGCCAGGGCCAGGGAAAGGGGTATTGTCCGGGCTTTCCTTGTGGTGAGCATCACATGTGAATCCTTTGCCTCTCTTGTACACTTTGTTATTCATATTGTTGCTGTTACTGTTTGTTTTCTCACCTCATTGTCCTTGCCAGTCCACCAGGAGGGGAGGAGGAGAGGGAAGTGAGTGCTTGGACTTTTTCAGTGGGAACACTAAATAGGGGAATACCATTCCTAAATCACAACAATATGAAAATAATTTTTGATGGAAAAAGATTCTCAGGATTCTCTTCTAAACTCTCAGCTGTTCAAAACTTTTCTGTTGTTTTCACTGTTACAGTAGCTCATTTCATTGATCTATGGACTAAGCTGAACACAAACTATTTAGATGCCACACTTGAAAATTAAGCCACACTGATTTAAGGGTTAGTCTATATTTCAACAACTTCAGAATCCAAAACAGCAGCAGATGAAGGAGAAAAAGAAAAACGTTTTCCCAGCCACAATCTGGAAAAAAAAAAACCCAAACAAAACAAAGCTGATCATGTGGACATAAACAGAGATGGAAAAAAAAGGCTCACACAAAAAAGCATTAAGAATCTTTCAATGAACAGGCAGGGCACAAAGTTTACTTAGAATTTCTGCATAGGAATATTTCAAGTGGAATTCCTCCTTTCAGGGGTCTCACCTTTTTTTTGGCTTCGTTTCATCCAAAGATGATTTCTTGGTGGTCTGAGCTGCACGTGCATTGGATACCTTCTTCTTTACTGGAGGAAGAATGGTTTTTAGTTAACAAGGAAAGACGAAGAACATTGTATAAATGCCAATTGAAGTATTTTTTATATGGATATGAATTTTGTGTTCTTGTTTTCCTTACAATATGTAGGGCACAACTACAGGAACAATCATAACTGAGGCAACCCAGAAGTGGCAACAAAAGGTTATGTTCTGGGGATGCCAAAGAAAATGGACAGATGGGAGGAGATATAAAACAACATGGAGGCAGGAGAATGTGAACAACGTGAATAAGGAGAATGAATGGGCTACATTCATAGTCTTGGCTGTGATAGGGACTTGGAAATGTGGAAGAGATAGAGAATACCTTTAAAAATGGCTGGAGAAGTCAAGCTCTCCAGAAGAGAGATGGGGAAATCAGAACAGTACACAGGTAGCAGCTGGGATTACCTCTGTGCTCACATTTGAGTGGATGATAACACAATTTGAGAAGTATCCCTGATTCCCTACATATTTTCATGACCTCTGTTCCAATTCTTTTCTCTATTCCTTTTCCCTTTTGCTATCACAGAGATATCCTTTGTAACGCTAACTCATTCTGCAGCTTTCATTGGTTTAAGAGCCAAAAATCATCTTACTATTGCAAGGTAAAGATATCCAAGAAAAAAACTGGGATGCACCAACTCTCAGAACTAGCAGGGAAGCCACTGGTCTGGAACATGCTGGACTTGTGCAGTAAAATGAGAGGAACTACAGTTTAGATGAACAGAATGCATTAAAAGAAATATAGGCACACCTGGTCCTAATGAACGCGAGCGATCTTTTCTCTCTGGATTTAAATCTGGAGATTGTTTGGACGGGACAAATCTAAAACAAAAAAGAGAGATAAGTGGTTGTTGAATATCCTGTTACTTTATGTTCTATACTACATACTACATTATATAGAGACCTGGGCAAGTTCTCCATCCCTACCATGAGCTAAGGGTGGTTAAATTTCTGAGATCATATTTAACAGATAGGGTTACTTTTACAACTGACAGTACTGAAGTACTTTAATGGGACCAACTAACTCTTTATCTGAAATTTTGGAATTTCTACAAGCAAAAATGCATAAAAATACTATTTGCAAATCAAACACTTTTCATATTCTTCATTGCACACTTTTCAGTCGACTATGTAGCATGTAATCACCTTTTAAGGTGACCACCTTTAAGACAAAAATTAAATCACTACATCTAAACTTTATCATTGTGCTATAAAATAGATGTCACTTATTACTCAAAAGGGGGTATTTTTTGCTGTTAGAAATCTTGCTTTTAAAAAGAAATCAGTCTCAGCCAGACTGATTTTTAAAGTTAGACTGATCAGAAAGTATGAAGTAGTATTATCTACAGTCTATTCAAGTTCTGGATATACAAGGTATTCTACAAAATATGAATTCAGGAAAACCTTTATATGCTTCTGGAATATAAATTTAAAAAATACTGTTGTGAAGCCCCTTGTAGCATATCATGAGCCTCACAGAGAGAAGTGGCATATGGAGTTAAGAAAATATAAATTAAGGACAGAAAAATACCTTTAGGCAAACAAGTACTTACCCAGCTAAATTCTGGATAACACTTATTGCCAAATCATCAAGTGCTGACGTATCCATCCTGCTGGGATTTAACACGGGGAATTTTTCAGGATCCAGCCCCATTACCATCCTTTTGTTCTCATCTCTAAGGCTCTCTCTTTGAACAGCAGGAGCAATGGAATCTTGTGACATCCCATCCATGGCAAGAGTGGGAACGTCCTCCTGAAATGGGAAGAAAAATGAAGCCCTCTTGACCGTAGCAGGCAGTTAGTGAAAGCATTCCACATAGTAACTGGCTACTAAAGCAGATCTTCCAAACAGACAGACACTATTTTGCTTCACAGGCTGAAATCGAATTTTTTGTCATTCTAGTAGCAATGTTGTTACAGTTATACAACTCTGAAACACTTCAAAGCAGTCAAGAGTAGGTTCTCAAAATAATCATCAACAGTATTTAAAGGTATACTCTCAAAACAATGATCCACTGAGATGACAAAATAAAGACACACTTTCCAGAAAAGGAAAAAAGGAAACACAACCCATTTGATAAAAACAAAATCTCTTTTGGACACATTTGATTTTTTTAAATTATTTAAAGAAATCCATGAAATATGTATCTATGAATAGTGCCTTGAAAACAAACTCAACTGAGCAACTCATTGCATTTTGTAAACTTGGTGCTGACTGCTGATTCACTCAACCTCTTAATAAAATGTCCTAATGTTACAGTGTCTTGGGCAGCTTGGCATAATGCAGATTCTTTCTTCATTTGAAAATTCAAAGCACAGATCCTGAAAAACTTTTAAAGCATCTACTCAGGGAAATTCTCTCAACATTAAATAAAACATAGAGAATGTAGATACTTACATTGGCATGTGGGATCATTGCTTTTTCTAAGAAGCAGTCAAGATACTGACTTCTCTTTTTCAGCTCTTTCAACACCTCTTTAGCAAAATCATACAACTCTTCAGAAGCTGAAGCCTTAAAGATATGGGAATACAGATGGTATTTATTAAACTAGATATTTTGGCCTTTTCAAACATGCTGACTCTTGCAAACAACATCAGTGGCCTCTATTCTGTCACCAGCTTATCTACACATACATGGAAGCAATGAGATAGCACAGAGGTTGAGCTTTTGGTCTGGTAAAGAGGAAAAGAGGTGTGGGACCTTCCTGAGCAAAAATTCTGTGTTTCTGCCCCCCCCCTAAATATGAAGAAACACCAGTCTACCTTAAAAATATTAGTTTATGCAACCATGCACAGTGAGTCTAACAACAATTATTAACAATTCAAATTAAATACCATTTTGTGCTGTTTAGAACTTACTTCTTTATCTGCAGTAGGATGAGCACAAGCATCTCTCTTCTGCTGGAGCTTCTCCAGGTAAGACTTTAATGTCACTGACTGCAAATTGGAATTTGCTACCTAAAGCAGAAGCAGATAGTGGGGAAGTAAAATCCCCATTCAGGGGATTTTCAGAGCCTCCACTTTCAAACCACTAGAACCATTGATAAAAAACAGGTTAAAAAAATCCCTGGTACTCAGAGGAGAAGCTGAAAACAGTAATTCATAAAGCAACACTTCATGTCCTTCACTGTACCACACGAAAATGCTGGTCAATTCAGATGTACCTACTCAATGTGCTGCAGGCCCACAGTGTTCCAGCACAGCTGCAGCAGTAAAAACAAAGTTTTAAGCTGACAGCGACAGAAAACAGGTTTTGAATTAACACAGCAAGTCACTTAATGTTTGTCCACTCTGAATTCAGCCAAAATCTCTTCAATAGAATAATAAAAAAAAAATTATTATATGGAATTTAAGCAAAGTTCTGATGTTTCCCTTTGTACCTCTGATTTGATTTGCTGTTGTAGCCATCTCAAAGATTTCTGGACCTTCTCCATAAAGGCTCGACTCACAGAGACATCAGCAAATTTTTTTTCAGACTGCTTGATAAGTTCAGTAGCCTTTAAGAAAGCCAGAAACAAGAGACAGGACTAGGTAATTTTTTACTTTTTAAAACTTAAATAATAGAACTCGCCATTTTTATTTCTTTTTTTCCATCACATAATTGCCAAAGAGAACAGTCTTACAGTTGTAATTGGAAAGCAGGCTGACTGCAAATCACATTTATCAATAGAAAACATAACTTGAAAGAATAAAACTCTGCATACCTGCTCCAAGCAGCTTGATTCCATTTTCTCCACATCTCTCTTGATTAAACTTTCCAGAGAGTCAATTTGCTTACTTTCTTTCTGAAGACAGCTGTTGAAAAACTTTACTTCTTCAGAAGAGAAGTCACCTCCCTCCGAAAATAATCTGAAAGCAAAAGTAGAAGCTGTGACTCTTCTTTTCCTCCAAGACTATCTTAGCTAAGCAACCCTAAAATGTGGATATCAACACAAATGTGATGAAAACAGTATAATAATTGCGGCTTAATGGAATATTTTTTTTAAATAGCAAACTAGATGAATAACCAAATAAACTTCAATTTTACTGTTCTGCCTATGCAACAAACGCTGATGCCCAGAAATAGGTCACTATTTATAAACAAAACTTCCATGAAATCTCTATACCTGCAAGTTTTGAGAAAATCCACATTTGAACGCTTTAGTTTTCCTAAAGCTTCCTCCAAATGGTGCTGGTAACTCCTCACAATAACCCCAACTGATTCCAGATGATTGTGGAGCTCTGATTGCAGATTGTTCCTGGAAGAAGCTGACCTAATAAGAAATAATAAAAGACAGGGAAAACATGTCAGAAGAGGAACACACATGATGATCTGGCGACTGCGGGCTGTAAAGACATGAAGAAATGTCAGAATTCAAAAGTGATTAAGTGAAGTCTGAAAGCAACCCCCTGAGCTGGGATGGTCTGACTGAAATGGAGACTTCCAGCCAGAAACACCTGTGGCACACTTACTGCTCAGTCACAGGAGCATGGAGGAAGTCATGCTCCAAGTTACGGATTCTGGAGCCGAAGTTTTTGTTGAGGTTATTTAGCTGATCCAAAAATTTATGAAATTCAGCTTTCTCCTTTTTCAGGCTTTCTTCCAGCCCCTCACAGTGGCACTCGAGACGCTCTTTGTGAAGTGACAGTTCCCCTGAGAAGAAAAGAAGTTTTCCAGTGTGGATATTATTCCCTGTTTGCTGTGGACTACCACAATGCCCAGTCAGCCTACGACCAACAGCAGCAGCAAAATAAACAGAACCAGACCTCACAGTAACTAAACCATACAAACAAACCACATTCCATTTGGTTTCTTTGGCTTTCCTTCTGTGTTAAACATATATCCTTAGCAGCTCCTAATCCATTCAAAACACAAATGTCTCTTGTTTGCTCTAAACATTCTTTTTCCTTTATTTTTGGTCATTGCTGACATCTTCATTATATCTCTGTTTTCAATCTTGTAACAAAAGTAAAGTGTTTTGTTTTTTTTTTTTTTAATGGAAAATACACTTCTCCCTGGTTTTGCGAGGGGAAAAAACATCAGTTTTGGTCTCCCTTCTGGAATGATAGTTGGATAAATCAAGAGCCGGCCAATTGCCTCAATAAAGCAGCCAGAAAAAGCACCTCTTTGCAGAAAAAGGGAAATTGAAAAATTGTTTGCCTGTTCTCCCAAGAGAGAGTTTTTTACTTTATATGTTAAAGACCAACAAACCTGTCTAAAGCACTTTTTTCTCACCATAAAACCCAGACAATTCTCATGTGAAAAAGGTTTTGATTAGTGGCTGCTCTGTAGTTGCTCAGTGATACTTCACAGAGCTAAATCCTTCCTCTCGTGTTTTCAGAAGCCTGGTCCTGCCATTTCAGCTCTCTCAACTTGGCTAATTCTTTCTCTGCAACACCTGCAAAATTATTTTTTGTACAACAAAAACTCCTGTTAAATAATTTCAAGGCGAATGAGAATTCACAAACGTTGACAATACAATGTTCTACGTCTCGAACAGTGCAGTTGTTGATCAAGGCACCACTGTCTATTTTTCCAAACATAACGTAGCACAAACCAGGAAGAGGTGTAGAAATGTCATTCTGAAAACAGATGAGTAACATATTACACTGGGAATTTGTACACACTCAACTGCTTCCTTGCTCAGTTGTCCTTTACAACTGAGTCAACTAATGCTGAAATAGTTTTGGCCCACTTGTGATCATCTCTAAAAAAAGTCATATGATGCTCACAGTAAAAAAAAAATCAGTACCAGCTCTAACATTGTAGATATTTGTCTGTATCTCCTCCTGCTTTTGTTGATGCAACTGAAGATGCAGCAGAAGTATTGAATTCAGCTCCTCTTTCTTGGCAGCCACGAAGACACGGGATTTGGACAAGGATTCTGCAAACCATTTCTCCAAGTGTTCAAAAAAGCAGAGGCGAATCCTACGATTGAAAAAGAAATACTACAGCGAGGAACAGTAAATAATAAATAAGAATTCACTAAATATATTAATTCTAAGAATTTCACTTCTGACTACAGGAAGATATGCTTTCAGTACCATTTGCACAATACTGGTCAAGTTTTTGAGCTAGCTGCCTACTACTGAGTACCAGGCATTTTACCTTCATGGCTCTGCAGGGAATTTGGGAATTTTACTTGTCTTTCTGTAATCTGTTTTCTCACTTAATAAATTTCCGTAAAATATGAATGTTCTGTAAAGGTAAACGCATTTGTGGTACTTTGAAAGGATGGCTACAAAGCAATATAAACATTTTCTTATATTTGTATCAATTTAAAAAAGAGGAATGACATAATAATGATACAATTATAATTTTATAATTAGAATATCTAATTATATACTAATAATTAGCTAATTTTTGCCTCTTCAGTATAATGTTTCCTCTAAAGAGCTGAAATTTGTCTATTACGTAAAGAAGCTGTTTTCTACTCACTTTTTCTTCAGCTTGACAAACACGGTTTCTTTGAGAAGCACATATTTCAGGTACATAGGAAGTGATTCTTCCTTTTCATATTTTGTAAAATAATTCTCCGTGATGTCAGCCTTTCCCGCCTCTTCAACTCCAAGGACAGTGTAAATGTTTCCACTAGCAGTGGAAAATATTTCCATGGCCTTTTCAGCACTTTCTGCCTTGCTGCTATTGAACACTGCCTAGTGAACAGTTGGAAATCATCATCTGCTACCTTTAAAGGTATCAGCATGGAATCAACACAGCACAAGCTAATGTAAGAATCTTAAGGATATTTAGAATAGCATTCTCATTCTCAATTTGGACAACACTAATACAGTGTCAGCAATATTTATGTATTTATACATGCTGGGAAGGCTCAATAGGCAAAGTCACCTATGTTTTAGATGGGTTTTGATATGTTAATAAATTAATGGAATTAAAGACCTGAAAAAACAATACTTAGGTACAAATACAGCTTAAAGCATTCACCATGGCTTAAGGACACTGTCATGAAAGAAAGATAGATTAAAAAAAAAAAACTATGCAAAGAGTTTTTACAAAGGTAAAAGCAGTGCTTGTAAAAGGTTTTATACACTCTAATTGTCCATAAAAAGGATCTAAACCCCTATGGACTTTGACAGACTAAGCAAACAAAGACTTTCTATTCATCCTCAGCAAAAAGACTTCCTATTCCTCCTTATTTTGGGCAAGACTGCCTTCACCTTCAAAATTTATTCTCTTGTTCACTTAATCTCTGTAACACTTACCCCTTGTTCTGCAAGTTCAGTGTCTTCACTCTTATGAGGAATGCTCTCTCCATCTTCCTCTGTTTCTTCAGTTTCCTGTGCCAAGATCTCCTCATGCTCAGCTGGGTTTGTTCCTCCATCTGATCCTTGACAACTGTCTATCTCTTCTGGCATTGGCTGAGAGAGACGATTGTCCCACTCTGCTCTCTGCTGGTGCACCTCAGGTCCTGGAGGCAATTTTGGATGCCACAACGTAAGAAAGATCTAAATCTATTAGGGAGCGTTCAAAGGAGAGAGACACAGATGGTGAAGGGACTAGAGGGGAAGCCTTGTGAGGAATGGCTGAGGTAATTTGGCTTCTTCAGCTGGAGAAGAGGAGACTGAGGTCAGAGCTCATTGGGGTCTGCAGCTCCCGAGGGGTGGTGGAAGGGCAGCTCCCATCTCTGCTCTGTGTGAGCAGGGACAGGGCTTGAGGGAATGGTTGGAACTATGTCAGAGGAAGTTTAGCTGGATCTCAGGAAAAGGTTCTTCCCCTAGAGGGTGGCTGGGCACTGAAGAGGCTCCTCAGGGCAGTGGTCACAGCCCCAAGGCTGCCAGAGCTCAAGGACCATTTGGACAATGCTCTCAGGCACATGGTTTTGTTGTGGTGTCTGTGCAGGGCCAGGAGTTTGGACTTGGATGATCCTTGTGGGTCACTTCCAACTCAGGATATTCTATAATTTTCCTCTCTTTCATTTTCTTGCCTCAACTAGTCATTTACAGTTAAAGCACAGTTTTACTGGTTGCAATCCAAAGAGATACAGATTGAAAAAAAAAGCAAGCAAAAATACCTGTTTGTACCACTGAGGTATCACTTTGATCTTGAACCATGGAGGCTATCTCGCCTTGCAAGTTCTAAAAGCAAAACAACAAAAAAAAAAAACCATACCATTTGAAAATACAGATTTACCTCTTTGTAAGAAATCCACATCCCTTCTCAAAATATATCTATGTCAGTAAGTTATGATAGTCTTGAATGGATCACTTATTGTCTAAAGAACCTGTGACACTCAAATTCACTAATATAAGTTTGTTATCTTGTAGTTTTCTGTTTAAAAGGCAAATGAATTTGCTGAAATGCAGTTTGTAACAAGATTTTAACCAGATAAAATTTTCTTTTTACCTGTTTGAAGACTTCCTTCACATTAAAATGCTGGCTGATGGATATGCTGTAAGAAATCAACTCCTGCAAAATAGCTCCTGGGTAAGCCACTACTTCATCCATTACAACTTGGTTGAGTGTCTCATTCCTGTCAAATTTAAGGTCACTGTTTAAGAGATTCAAGAATGTATAAAAATAAAATAAATTTGACTACAGTGCCTTTAAATCCAAATCGAACTGTCTCACCAATCTCATAAAACCTTTAGGCTAAATGTTGCACCTGATATGTTTATACCAAATACAATCACATCCTGGCTTATTAGTAGAAATTAGTTCATTACAAATATATGAATGTACAAAAATTAAGAAATATTCACAATAAAGCCTTTCACATCTTTCCTTTTGGATGGGAAATCATTCAAAATCTGTGCTTATGTAAGGAATATTAAAAATCAGAGGTCAAATAACTGTCCTCCATATTTGTTCTGTATTGGTGCTCAGCTTTGAACGAGCCTGTCACAAGAGACTGCAAAGCTTCCCCACCCCAAGGGAGGTGATTGGCATCTCCTTAACGTATAGTAATCCACTGGACTCTAAGTTTTGTGGGACTCTCACTACTGAGAAGACCAGAAGAACAGGACCTATGGGATGCTGCTGGGTTTCATGGACTGGTGATACATTTTCTATTTTAATCTCTCTCTGTCACCCTCTTTCTCCCCCCTCCTTTTTCCTATTTCTTTCTATCTCTCTTTCTCTGCCTCACATTTACTGTTAAATAAAACCCATACTATTGACTGGCACATGATCTTGTTTGCACCTTAATTCTGGCAGAGGCATTTCTAATCATTTTAATAACCAGATCATAACAATAGGTTACATTGCCTTTCTGCAACCTCACATTGTATTTTAACTTGTTCCATTACCTTTGGGGTTTTTTAAATCGTTCTAATGAGCATTAAGAGCACCAACCCCATAGCTCTAACCACAATCCCACTGGGAGGTGTGTGAAGGTCCACATCACTCTTCTAACGTGCCTCGACCTCCTGGGTGTGAGAATAGAGCTGCTTCCTCTCAGCCTGTTTAATCTTCACACCTGCTGCTGAGCATGGTATGTGTCAATTTTTATAATGACTTTTATAGTTGCAAATGCCTAATCATGAGACAGGTCACAGAAATATTACCAAAATAAATATTTTGGCTATCTGAAAGTTCTTAGCGAATTCTAGTCCTTGCAACTTTGAATGAGATCAAATCTGAGACCACAGGTGATGGTGCAGACCAATTTCTGATTCCTGTGAGTCAAGAATCTGAACTACTACTTTTAACTTCTACATAAGGCATGGATAAGGCACAACAATACTGATCTGGTGTAGTTTTTGAGTGATACCAGTCTTCCTTAGTCCTGCTCATAAACTATGAGTATTATTTGCCTTAACCTTGTTCAGTATGTACATTATTTCATTTTACAGTCTCACATGAAGTAGCAAGCAGTGTTTTTCCACATCTTTGCACTACAGCATAAACAAGATCTAAGTAGTACAACCAACATTAAAGTACGCTTTACTTTTTAAGTTTACACTAAAAAAATTCATACCTAGTTCTAATATGATCTAAAGAAGAAAGGGCCTTCTCCATATAATTCTTCAGCTCTTCTTCACAGCTTGCCATTTTCATTTTTTCCAAAATTATATCCAGATCAACTTTCATCATCTAAGGCCACACAGAAAACACAAGTAAAAATCATTTAGTATATACTAAAATCTCCATAACTATTTAGGATTCAAGTAATTTGATTATGTATGTATATTTTACAACAAGAAGGGAAGCTACCTTAGTAAAACTCATTGCCTATGAAGACCTTTCCTACATAATTAATATTTCCGACACTGTCACCCTAAGTTGCTTCTTATAACTATGAGAAGTTGACATCCAGTCAGACTTTGTACCTGCACAAGATTTTATAATAGCAACTTGCAGTCTCTTTATAATGAAAATATAATCTTTACCACTGCTGCCATATCAAGAATATGATATGACTGCCCACTCAGTGGGAACCAAGCAGTTAGCAAAGATGTACCTGACAGAATGGAACTGACACGTAGAAATTCCAGCATAAAAGTCAAACATTAAGTTTTTCATTTTATTTTGAACTCCAGAGTGCTCTTTGCATTAAGAAGTCCTTTCTTTACATCATACCACATCCTTGATTTATGTCTATACCTGTATAATGCTATCCTGTTCCCATCTGCATTCATCTACTTTCTTCTGAAGTTCACTTTCCTGCTGGGACAGTCGGAGTTTATGGACATCCCAGAGGGCCATGGCCTCCTGAAAATAGCTGTACAAGCCTTGACAGTGCTGCTCATGCTGTTTAGCCATCTCCTTAAAGTCTCTCTAAAGAAAAACATTTAAGTGACTAAGTTATTTTTAAACTGCTGGAAGGTGAAATGAAGGAATAAGAGGATATGTAACGTGACAAAAGGCTGCCTGGATGAACACTGTCAGTATTCAACACAGTGAGAGGAAAAAGACATCCAAGTAAACTGGATAAAAACGTGGATTTTTATTCTACAAGCTGAGAGTATCAGAACTTCTGTTTATTCTTTTGATACTGTAAAGCACAGAATCACCAAGTTCTGCCATCTATCATTTTAGGAACGACTGCCCAGTCATTTTCTTGTACAGAATAATAAAAGATGAGACTGAAAGAAATTTGGGAGATCATTTAAACCTATTCCTCTGCCTCTAGGCAGGTTGGGCTATACAAAATTCATCCCTGACATATATATTTATATTACAAATATAAATTATGATATAAATATATTTATGTTACAAATGTAAACCAAATCATTACGGACTCTTCTCCCTGAATCACACCAAGCTTCTTTTCTTTGTGGTGTTCACTCACACCGTGGATCTCATTCTAGTGTGACATCAAGAGCCTCAGATGCAGATGGCACTGCAGGTGGGAGGGCAGGAAGAACAGACTAATACCAGGGAGTAGTAAAAATATACGTGATAAACGTACATCCATATGCTCCAGTTCTTCTTCGAACCTACGTTCTAGTTTCTCAGTCATGTGAAGCATGTCAGAGTGCACAATTTCAACATCTTTTACCGTGTAAACATTCATATCCAACAGGCTCATCTAAACAAAAAAATGCCAAGTTATTGACATGCATATAACAAATACTGTGTGGCTTTTAGCAAGTATGGGTTAACAACTGCTGGTGTTTCTTCTTGTGAGGGACAGAGAAAGATTCAACCCCCCAGATCTCACATTCTTGGAAACAGTACAATTCTATTGGAGGCAAGGAAAGACAGGTGGAATTTCTTTCCCAAAATAAGGCACTTAGCACAAAGGCTGAGTGTCCTTGCATCCTCCACATAAATGTAGGACAGTACTTCCTTCATTACTGCCATTTGTTACGGCTTTTACACATTTTGAGTACAAATACCACAGCAACTTCTCTAATGGAATAAGACAGAAGTTAAAAAGTAATTTCACTTGTTATCTCAATGTCTGGTGGATCCTCAAACACTTTTTACTGTAGTGACACTGTACCATCAACAATCCTTCCAACAAGTCCCAAAGCTGTGACGCTCACCTTGCAGACCTGCACTTTTTCCTGACATTTGCCCAGGACCAGCTCATACTTGCTGCGCATTTTCTTCACGCACTCTGCATTGTGGGTGTCTGAAGAACACGGAGCAGACCACAGTCAGGATTCCTGTACTTCCCAGTGCAGTGTGAAATGGAAATATGACAGAAGCCCTGTGCTGAATCTCAGCACAGGAACAGATCCCAGCGGGTCTGCACACTTGTGCGACACAAACAATCAATTACAGAAGATTTTTTAATACAAATCTGTTTATCATTATGCTTAAAAGCAGTAAGTTATTTACAATTGCTACCAACTTCTTTGCTACTATACAGGCTACAAATATCACGACAGGATGTGCTCTGGAGTAAAAGAAGGCAGACACACAGAGGGAAGGCACTTTATAGGACTCAGAGAAAGAACATCTCCAACACTTTTCCTCTCCTTCTCCAAAAGGTAAAAAGGAGTATTTTTGTACGACTAAGAACTGCTCCACGTCAAAATTAACCTTCTGTCTCCCCCAGATTAATTCTAACCAAGACAGTTCCTGCTAGATCTCACCATGCACAAGTGCCTGTGCTGGCCAAAGGGAGGTGATGCCCCAGAAAACTTCTTTGGGTCCTGCTGCCAGCTCAAAGCAACTGAGAAGGTATGTGAAAACACATGGAACAAAAAAAAGAGCAAACATGCCCTTTCAAAGAAACTGCCTGCTTCGTTGCTGCTTGGAAAAAAAATAAAGAATTGCCTGAATTCCAGATTGTTTTTATGATTTCCCAACTTACCTAAACTTTGGTTTAAATTCTCCACAGTTCTGTACCATTCATTTATCTCAGATTTCATGTCTGTTGGAGGCAACAAGGTGCTATCAAAATAGGAAACAAGAGTCAAGTATCTTAACATATAAACCAGTCAGTTGTTAAAAGATAAAATTATGAATCAGAGTTTCCATGCACTTTATTTTATTTACTGCCATCTCAGCAATGAAAATAAACCAAGGAGACTGCTGTTGTTCAAGGCCACTGAACAACTGACTGACAAGGAACTAACTTGTTCCTACATTCATTCTAAAAGAAAAGCTGTAAATGTTGTAATGCCTTGCATCCAAAAATGCTTGTTGTCAGGATGGATATTCAAACATAGACAGTTAGATTTCTATCCAGATTCTTCCGTAATTTATTACACAAATGAAATCCTGTGCAGAAACAATGCCTTGACTAAAGCACCAGCTTGTAGTTCTCTACCCATCCTTGTCTGCTCATTTATACCATGTTTCAAATATTAGTTAAGATTTACTTTTGCACTCCTGCATTTCTAGCTCTCCATCATCCCCTGTTTAGTGTAGCTGGTGCACTGAAAACCAGGAATGCATTTTTTCCATTAAAAAGAGCTTTACCAAAAAAAAGTTTAGGACCTGCCTACTTCTGAACTCTACAATCACAGACTGACAGAAAGCAAAGTGCATTTAGTAGCCAAGTCCCCTATTAACTCCAGAAAGAATTCTGTTTCTCTTTTGCCATACCCAATGTGCTGCAAAACCCCCAGTCTCCGCTCACTGAGTACAGTCTGCTCCTTTATCATATTTTCCATTTCTGTTTTCACAGTTGGGGGATTCTGTATTTCTTCACTTGCCATAAATTCTCTGTAGGATGGAAAAATGATATGTATAATGGAAATGTGATACATGTGCTATCCTATGTGATATGTATCATATGTTTAATGAAAAAATGATAAAACAGTACTGTTTACAGAAAACACAACTGAACACTGGTCACTTTGTGTTATTCATTCTCCAAAATATGACTGTAAAATTTCTGACCTGAAACTCTGAATTACACGGTTCTTTTGGATGAGCTTCCAGTCCTCAACTCTTTCTTGCCATTTCAATTTATGTGCTTTTTCCTTCTCAAGCTCTGATTTCATTAGATTAAAGAGCAGCTTGGCAGTTGCCCTCTCATTACCCAGCAGGGCTCGGTTTATATTCTGCATATTAAAAAATAAAATCAGGAGTATTTTATCAGCATACAACATAAAAAAACCCATAAATTGTCTCTTCTACGTAAAAGGAGGGAGAAAAGAATACAAATGATAAAGAATATTCTGCAAAAGAGAAACTTCTTTTATATGTCAGTGATTGATAAGTAGAAAAAATGTATTTCAACTGGGAAAAAAAAAAAAGACATTCTGGGAACATTCAGATTGCTGTCTTGCCCCAGACAAAACATTTACCGTGGCCTCGTCGTTGATGAGCTTGTGAACATCAGCTGCCAAGAAGAAGGAAATTTCCTCCAATTTCACTGTATACTTTTTCAGTATATTTGCTATCTGTGCAATAAAAGAATAAAGAAAAGCATCAACTAAAAAAGTATAACTCAGATGTCAGTTTCCCAAGTTATAAAATTACATGAACAAAACATTTTTTTTTCCATTAAAATAAATTCAATTGGTTGATAGACAGATTGAGAAATAAACCTTAAAATATTAATCTTAAATATATCAAAGACTGATTTTTTAAAATCATTCATTAAAAAGTAACTAAAACTTTCCACTTTGTTACTACTCATTTGGTTTTTCTTTCATATCTGTGAAAATTGAGCACTCTGCAGACAAGCTGCAATATGAATTCAAAAAAAAAATCACACCAACTTCCTTTCAAATATCTGGAGTGAATCCACCAGTGCCTGTTTTAAGGAAAAACAAAATTTAAGGAAATGTCGCCATCTCTGGCCTTTTTCATAACTAAACAAACATCAATAAAAAAGTTACTGGTGATACTCTTGGACCTACTCACTATGTCTGCGTTACAAAGAGGACAAACTGGCACAGGTAGAACAAACAGCCTTTGTTTGCCTCCAAGAACAACGCAGCAAGGACCTCCTTAAGGGGTATCTATTATTTATCCAAACATTTACTGTGATATCCAGTGACTTTTACAAGTCAGCCTAAAGCCTACACAACTGCAACACAACTCCTACTGATACCCAGGCTACCCAAACTAAAACTGAGCTAGGTCATGCCTGTGGTCTTTCTCAGCTGTCCCCAAAAAATAACAGAGCAGATGACAGTTCGACCTAAAAAACCCTTGCACGAAAATAAAAGCAGCTCACCTTCAGTACAGATAATTGTGCAAGAAAGAAACACCTTGAAACTGAAAAAAAAAAGTATTTTCTTCTGATTATGCAGGTATAAAATGATTGAATGGTCTACTGGTGAAAAGAAAGCAATCACCACACAACAGAATTACTGGCAGATCTCTGACTCCTAGGGAAACAAGCTACTCTTTGCTCTGCATCCAGCATTATCAGCAAATAATAATCTTATCCTTAAGTAACAGTTATTAAGGCTGCATCTCACTTTAGAGGCTCGACTCCTTTCAATCTTCTTTAGGGATTCATCCATTGTCCTAATCCACTTCTTTCTGTTCAAGGATTCCTGGTGAATCATATTCCACAGCTTTTCCAAACCCTGCAATAAGAATTTAGTCTCAATCTCTTTGAAAAGTAAATGTAAAAAAAAAAAAAAATTAAAAAAAGAAAATAGATCTTAAGACTCCAGTGAGCCATGAGAACCTGTTACACAGAGCAGGTACAAATAACTGAAGGTGAGCCAATGCTCTGAGCTGCCTTACTTCAAAGGAGAAACCTTCTAGAGCCGCGTCAGACACAATCTTTTTGAACAGAAGTTCACTTTTTTCATCAGATTTCATCACTTTTACTTGAAGGAATTTTTGAAGCTCCGAAACAGAGGCTTCCATCTCCTAAAAAGAGAAGGAACTCAGTGTGATCACTTGAATATTGGGCCCTGACCTTAGAATAGCACTCTAGACTACCTGGATTAAAAAATCCTGCCTTACTTTGCCAATGTAGTCCAGCTCCTGCTGCATTTTGGTCACTGCTTGATCGTGACGCTTTTGCCGTCGTTCTGCCACGCATTTCAAGGTCTCGCTGCTTTTTTCCTCAGGAACTGCCAAGAAAGAAATGAGGATGATGGAGCCTGGAACTCTTGCTGCAGAACATGGGATGCACGAAGAATAAATCCCTAAATGCACACTATGACTGCTGCAGTTTGTGCAGCTCTTACAGTGTGCAGCACGGGAAGGGAAATCTTTGCAAACAGAGGTTAAAAATACTTGAGCGTGTTTTAAAACTTGTGATTTTCAGGATAAAAGCATGGAAGCTATCAACTAAAGCTCAGGTACGACGCAAAAAGGTTGCATCATTTCAAGAATGAGATCCAGCAGAACTGGAATTTATCATCCAAACATAAGCTGTGATTGACTGACAATTTCACAACCATTTTTTTTTTTTCTAGGAGGAGACTCTTCAGCTTCAAAATTACCTACAAATCATCAAAAACGTGCCAGGTCATTTCTGAGCTTGATTTTATACCTCGTTCAGCTAAAACTGCTACATGTATAGTGTCTCCTATGAATGCAAATTTAAATAGCTGACATTAAGGGAAAACAATTTTACCAACTATATCAGGTAGGCCTCTGACTTCCTCAGCTGAACTTGTATCTACATTTCTCCAGGCCTTTGGAGATGTTGTAGGTTCTCTGAAACAAGAAGAGAATAAAGCTTGGATTTGTATTAAATGTGTAAGAAGAGGGACTAGCATAATAGTATAATATTCACTTTAAGTGGCAAAATGTAACATTTAAGTGAACATAAGTATTGTTTTAACTACAAAGAATATGATTCAAAGAATCAACGTTGCTTCTTCTGACATGAACTGAACTGAGTAATTATCTAGTGTGGTTTGACCCCAACTTCAAATCTGTTATGATGGCATTAAAGCAATACATGCTAGATTTAGTGCATGCAAACTACGAACACAAACATACTGTGCCTAAAAGGTATAAGAATCTATGAAATCTCAAGGAGGAACTAGCAAGAAATGTGAAAATAGCCTTTATCTGCCCAGTGCTCTTCCCATTGGCTTGGGCACTGTGTTTCTCCTTGGGGTCAATGAGAATCCAGGAGAATTCAGCAGCAGGGTTAGGGTAAAAAGGATGGATGCATTAACTTCTTTCTTGTTCATTACACAATCTTACTGCATCATCATCACCATCATCATGTAAATCATCAACATACTTTGAAATATAGTTCAAAAAGATGTGTCAGACTGGGCATCTACCTAGACTGCTTTGAGCAAAGAAGACAGGCAACTTCTTTTGCAAAGGAAAGCCACACAATGTGCCTGCCATTGGAAATATCAGCCTGTCAGCCTGCACTTTAACAGGCAGCAGCTCATTATACTAAATTTACTTTGAGCAAGGAGACACTCTGTTACAAGTCATTAGTGCTATGACCAAGAATTCAGAAATTTCTTGCTCCCAGTGCAAATCTTACAACTTCATTCCTATAGTCATGAACATATAATTGGGGTTTTATGCTTCTGTTCTCTACCTGTCTGATTGTGCCTTTTTTGTGGAGTCATTGATAGGCCTTTTTCCATCACACTTCTGCTGATAACATGGTAGTAGCCCAGCATCAGCAGACATTTCTGAATGCCTATCCGAAGTGAGCATTTTACTCTTCTTAGAAGACCTATTCTTCTTCTTTCTTTCATTCAAAAGGTGTACTCAGTGAGCCTTCAAAGAACCATAATCACAACAGTTAGAATTCCTTCCAATCTCCTGAGTGGAGAACAGTGACAAAATAGTTCATAAAAATTGGGGGGGAAGGGAAGGGTGGCAGAAGAAAAAAGCAAAAAAAGGAACCCTACTTGGCACGTGCATAACCATCTAAGGCTATTTTAATCTCAGGTTATTTTCAAAATGAGAAAAAAAGGTTAACCTTTTCCTCAGAGAGGAAAAGTGGAGCCAACTGGATTGTGTGCCTTGCTTACAGTCACCAGGAAAATCAACAGGAGAGTGAGAAATGCCTGAATCTGGCTGTGACTCTTAATATGTTTTACTGCTGTGTTATAATGATGCTGCCTTCAATTAATATATTCTGATACACAATGAAGAGATGAGAACACATGGAGATGCATTAGAGAGCATATGCTGGAGATAACACAATTATTTTCTACTCAAACAAACCAAACCTAGAAAGGTCGAAACTGAGCTCCTGCCTGATGTCACTTCAACAGCCAGCAAACAACTGACCAACACAACCAATTCCTTTGGCTTTTACTCGGTCCTTTGGGTTTTTTACCTTGGCCTTGGAGATTGGTTTACAGCCTTCCTCTCCACAAACGTGTCACACACATCCTACTGAGAACAGGTGGCCCATCCCAGCTGACTGCCAGGCCTGCTTCCAGAGAACTGGCAACTACAAGCTGGGAGTCAAGAGGAGACACAACGTTTCAGTTGGAAAAGGGCCTTCCTTGAATCATAGGACCTTCAAGCCCATCCAGTTACCCCCCGCCATGGGCAGGGACACCTTCCACTAGCCCAGGTTGCTCCAAGCCCTGTCCAACCTGGCCTTGGACACTTCCAGGGATGGGGCAGCCACAGTTTCTCTGGGTAACCTGTGCCAGGGCCTCACCACCCTCCCAGGAAAAAACTTCTTCCCAATATCCCATCTAACCCTGCCCTCTGTCAGTGTGAGGCCGTGCCCCCTCGTTCTGTCCCTGTAGGCTCCTGTCCCAGGTCCCTCTCCAGCTCTCCTGGAGCCCCTTTAGGCACTGCAAGGGGCTCTATCGTCTCCCTGGAGCCTTTTCCAGGCTGCACAACCCCAGTTCTCCCAGCTGCCACCACGGCAGAGGCACTCCAGCCTTTGAAGAAGATTTGTGGCCTCCCCAAGACTCCAAAGGGTGATGAAACAGGAGGCCAGGCCCAAAAGAGTTAACTAAGAAATTTGGGCCTGCTAACAAGCTGCTAACATCCAAAACGATCTGTGCTTGTTCTGTTTTACTTACCGGACCAAAACTTAAGAGAATGGTAAAAGAACATGTAATAAGCCTAGAGGTAATAAATTAAGATGCAGTAGGATAAGGTAGACATTGGAATAGAAGAAACAGGCTGTGAGCCAAGGCTTTTTCCAAGCTTCAGTGAGCGGGTCGAGAACAATGGAAAAGAAGAGAGGTCAAGCTGAGGAAGATGAGAACTAGCCCTCAGACTCAGGAAGGAAGAACGGAACTCCCACCAAAATTGAGGGCTAGGAGAAGCCCTGCCTGAGCTCCACCTATACTCCGCCTGTTATTAGTATGTATAGATAAATGCTGTAATCACTCTGAATATGCATTTAATCATAAACGAAAATTGTATAAAACCTGCTGATTCCATGTGAAGCCTTGGAGCAGGTTTTTCCAGCAATAGCTGGCTTGCTCCCAGCGCTGTCAATAAATACCTTTGCTGCTCAAAGATCAAAGCCTCTGGGCGGTTCATTATTCCGGATTTTTCGGATTCAGTGAAACTCCACGCCTACCGCTCGGCTTCCAGGATCTAGAGCTGTCACCGCAGGCGGTGCTCCCGGCTGTCGCTCCCGGACGATCCCGGCTGCCGGGGTCGACCCCGGGTGTCGCTCCCGGACGATCCCGGCTCTCGGGGCCGATCCCGGCTGTCGCTCCCGGACGATCCCGACTCTCGGGGCCGATCCCGGCTGTCGGTCCCGGACGATCCCGGCTCTCGGGGCCGATCCCGGCTGTCGCTCCCGGACGATCCCGGCTGCCGGGGCCGATCCCGGCTGTCGCTCCCGGACGATCCCGACTCTCGGGGCCGATCCCGGCTGTCGGTCTCGGACGATCCCGGCTCTCGGGGCCGATCCCGGCTGTCGGTCCCGGACGATCCCGGCTCTCGGGGCCGATCCCGGCTGTCGGTCCCGGACGATCCCGGCTGTCGGGGCCAATCCCTGTTTCTCCCCGGGCAGCCGAGTCGCGCGGCGCGTTGCCATACCAACGGCAGGGGGCGTGGCCAACGCCAGAAGAAGGGGCGGGATCCCCGCCCACCTCCCCACCCCCTCTAACAGCGCCCCCTGGCGGGCGCTGCCAGCACAGCGCCGCCGCTCCAGCTCATCCCACCGGGATCTGCACCCTCCACGGGACAGCTTTCCTCACGGACACCGCAAAGGCCGTTCCCTGTCCCCGGGGGTCAGCGCCTGCCCCCGTCCCGGGGCACACGGCCAGGAGTCTGCCGCGCTCCGGCCACCCTGATCAGCTCAAGGCACGAAGATGCCTGGCGGGGGTGTTCCCCGACCCACGAGCAGGGCTGTGCCCGGTGCAACGGCGCGGGCGCGCAGGTCTGCCCCCCGTCCCCCTGGGCAGCGCTGTCCTGCGCGCCAGCCCCTGGGAACCACCAGCATCCCGAGGAGAGTCCCGGCTCGCCTGCAGCCACCCCCGCTCCAGCCAGGCGAACTCGGCCCTGGCCCCGGCTGCGGGGGCGCGGCTGCTTCCGGCCCGCCCTTGGGGCTCGGCGGGGCCGCGCTCGGCGCCACTCGGCATCATTCGGCTGGGTTCGGTTCCACTCGGCTCCGTTCGGGCTCGCTCGGTTCCGTTCGGGCGCAGCCCTGGCCCGGGCTCCGCCCCCAGTGTGCGGGTCCTGTGTGGGTTTGGGGCTTCGGTGGAAAAGGGGCTGTTTTTACTGACAGTAGTTGAAGTTTTGCAAGTGTTGAGCTGAGGAGCTCTGGAGCCCTTGCGGTGGTGGTACAGCAGTTGGCGGCTCTGCCCCGCAGGTTCGCGGTACCGCCGGGCAGGGCAGGAGCGGCTGTGGGGGAGCCTCTAACAAACTGCGGGTTGGCAGCCGCCAGAGCCGCGGAAGCACAGGTGCCCTCAAAGGCTTTCGCAAAGTCTTGTAAACTGTTGAGGTTAAATCTCTTTCCGGATGCTGGCAAACCATGCTGCCGTGGAATCCGATGAATTCGGGGGGGAAGGGGGGACCAAGGATGTGCACTGGTCCTGTGTGGAGGGGAAGGGCTGGAGGAGGAGGGATGGAAGTAGGAGGAGAAGGAGGATTTCCTTGGGCTGAATCTTGGGCTTTTGGTGGTTTTTATGGACAGAAAACGCCTGGTGACTTCTAGAAATGGACTCGGGCAGGAGAAACCCCCAAGCCAACGCTCTCAGACCTTGTTTTTTTCCCCCAAGCCTCTTCATGCCTCTCTATGTGAACTGATTTGGTCTTGGATTTTTTTCTTCTGTACAGGAGTGACTACTACTGGCACAGGTTGCTCCTCTGGTTCAGCTGCAGCTTGAGTGGCCACGGCGCCTGTTGGTCTGCTTTCCTTCTCCTCCCTCTGAGGGTGCTGTTTAGTATTGCACTGTGTCTGATAAATAGTAGCCAGGGCCCAGAGCACTGCACTAAGTTGCTCCTCTTGGAACTGCCACAGCATTTCTCTTTCAAAGATTCTGCTGCTTTATCAGGATCCTGTAGTTGACAGAGGTAAACTTCCAAATCATTGGAGCAGAACAGTCTTTCAAAAGCTGACCGATTTTCTCCAACATTCCATGCCCCTCCTGGCTCCTGCAAAAATAACCCTGTCCTGGATAGAACCAGGAGAACCCATTCTGTAACAGGATCTTTCCTAGCAGCCAGTTCTCCTGGTTCCTCTTTGGTCAGCTCCGACCCGCCACCTGATCCAAACCCGATCCAAATGAGGATTCCTCGCAGGGAAAAGGTGCCAGCACAGAAAGCCCTGGCTGCCCACGGAGTGCCCAGGCTGCGCCACACACTGCACCTGAAAGCCAAAGCTCACAAGCTTTCTATCCTGGGAAACAGGGCTGCTGTCCCCTTTGGTCAGACCCGCCCTGCCATTGCCAGCCACCCAATCCAAAACCGATCCAAATGAGGATTCCTTGCAGGGAAAAGGTGCCAGCACAGAAAGCCCTGGCTGCACACGGAGTGCCAAGGCTGACCCACCAAATCCACCTGAGAGTCAAAAGTTGCAGGCTTGATGGCTGCAAAGAAGGGCTCTTGGCTTTTGGTAGCTCCAGCTGCCAGTGCCACTGCCCAAATGGCGTACGGACGAAGATTCCTCCAAGAGCAAAGGGACCAGGACAGAAAGCTCTTGCTGGCCGTAGAGTGGCCAGGGTGGCCAACCAAATCCACATGAGAGCCAAAGGTTGCAGGCTTGATTGGCTGGGGAGAAGGGCTCTTGGCTTTTGGCAGCTTGAGCTGCCAGTGCCACTGCCCAAATGGCGTACGGACGAAGACTGATCCCAGAACAAAGGGTCCAGGACCGAAAGCTCTTGCTGCCCGGGGAGTGCCCAGGCTAGCCCACCAAATCCACCAGAGAACCAAAGCTTGCAGGGTTGATTGGCTGGAGAGAAGGGCTCTTCGCTTTATACGGCTCAAGCTGCCAATGCCACTGCCCAAATGGCGTACGGACGAAGATTCCTCCCAGAGCAAAGGGACCAGGATAGAAAGTTCTTGCTACCCATGGAGTGCCCAGGGAGGCCCACTAAATTGACCCAAGAGCCAAAGGTTGCAGGCTTGAATGAATGGAGAGAAGGGCTCTTGTCTTTATACAGCTCCAGCTGCCAGTCCCACTGCCCAAATGGCGTACGGATGAAGATTCCTCCAAGAACAAAGGGGCCAGGACAGAAAGCTCTTGCTGCCCGGGGAGTGCCCAGGCTGGCCCACCAAATGCACAAGAGAGCCAAAGGTTGCAGGCTTGCTTGGCTCCGGAGAAGGTCTCTTGGCTTTTGGCAGCTCCAGCTGCCAATGCCACTGCCCAAATGGCGTACGGACCAAGATTCCTCCCAGAGCAAAGGGGCCAGGACAGAAAGCTCTTGCTGCCCGGGGAGTGCCCAGGCTGGCCCACCAAATGCACAAGAGAGCCAAAGGTTGCAGGCTTGCTTGGCTGGGGAGAAGGGCTCTTGGCTTTTTGCAGCTCCAGCTGCCAGTGCCACTGCCCAAATGGCATACGGACGAAGATTCCTCCCAGAGCAAAGGGGCCAGAACAGAAAGCTCTTGGTTCCTGGGGAGTGCCCAGGCTAACCCACAAAGTCCACCCGAGAACTCAAGGTTGCAGGCTTGCTTAGCTGCGGAGAAGGGCTCTTGGCTTTTGGCAGCTCCAGTTGCCAGTCCCACTGCCGAAATAGCGTGCCGACGAGAATTCCTCCCTGAGCATAGGGGCCAGGACAGAAAGCTCTTGCTGCCATGGAGTACCCAGGCTGGCCCACCAAATGCACCAGAGAGCCAAAGGTTGCAGGCTTGCTTGGCTGGGGAGAAGGGCTCTTGGCTTATACAGCTCCAGCTGCCAGTGCCACTACCCAGATGGCGTACGGACGATTCCTCCCAGAGCAAAGGGACCTGGACAGAAAGCTCTTGCTGCTCGTGGAGTGCCAAGGCTGGCCCAGCAAATCCACCTGAGAGCCAAGGGTTGCAGGCTTGCTTGGCTGGAGACAGGACTCTTGGCTTTTGGCTTTATAGAGCTCCATCTGCCAGTCCCACTGCCGAAATGGCGTACGGACGAAGATTCCTCCCAGAGCAAAGGGGCCAGGACACAAAGCTCTTGCTGGCCGTGGAGTGCCCAGGCTGGCCCACCAAATCCACCAGAGAAACAAAGCTTGCAGGCATGATTAGATGGAGAGAAGGGCTCTTGGCTCTGTACAACTCCAGCTGCCAGTCCCACTGCCCAAATGGCGTACGAAGATTACTCCCCGAGCAAAGGGGCCAGGACAGAAAGCTCTTGCTGCCCATGGAGTTCCCAGCCTGGCCCAGCAAATGCACCAGAGAGCCAAAGGTTGCAGGCTTGCTTGGCTGGGGAGAAGGGCTCTTGGCTTTATACAGCTCCAGCTGCCAGTCCCACTGCCCAAATGGCGTACGGTTGAAGATTCCTCTCAGAGTAAAGGGGCCAGGACAGAAAACTCTTGCTACCCGTTGAGTACTGAGTCTGGCCCACCAAATGCACCAGAGAGCTAAAGGCTGCAGGCTTTCTTGGCTGGGGAGAAGGGCTCTTGGTTTTATACAGCTCCAGCTGCCAGTCCCACTGCCCAAATGGCGTACGGTTGAAGATTCCTCCCAGAGCAAAGGGGCCAGGACAGAAAGCTCTTGCTGCCATGGAGTACCTAGGCTGGCCCAGCAAATGCACCAGAGAACCAAATGTTGCAGGCCTGCTTGGCTGGGGAGAAGGGCTCTTGGCTTTATACAGCTCCAGCTGCCAGTCCCACTGCCCCAGTGGTGTACGGACGAAGATTCCTCCCAGAGCAAAGGGGCCAGGACAGAAAGCTCTTGCTGCCATGGAGTACCCAGGCTGGCCCAGCAAATGCACCAGAGAGCCAAAGGTTGCAGGCTTGCTAGGCTGGGAAGAAGGGCTCCTTGCTTTACACAGCTCCAGCTGCCAGTCCCACTGCCCAAATGGCGTACGGTTGAAGATTCCTCCCAGAGCAAAGGGGCCAGGACAGAAAGCTCTTGCTGCCCATGGAGTACCCAGGCTGGCCCAGCAAATGCACCAGAGAGCCAAAGGTAGCAGGCTTGCTAGGCTGGGAAGAAGGGCT